TAACTGCATAAAGATTTTTGGGTAGCTTATTTAAGAAGACAACAAGAACATTGGGAATTCATCTCCCTATTTTCTACCCTTTATGAAAATGCAATAAATTACATTTGGGTGGGGGAGATTAATATCTTATGATGAGAGTTGCTTCTTCCATGCTGGCACATAATACAAAGCAATTTCACTGCTTGTCTTTCTTTCAACCCTTAGAATAGTCCTGAAACTGACATATAGTGTAAGTATGATTATGACGGGGTTACGGCCACAAACAAATATTAAGAGTATTGTCACCGGAATTTTTAGAATGAAAGGATTAAAACTGTGTTCCACAGTTAAAAGGTTTAAAACTGTGTGCAGTGGATATTAGTCAACAGAAAGAGTCTAGGATAAAGTAAGTTGGGAAAATGCTGTGGTTTGACAGACAGGTGAAATGAAGTTCTCTAGTAGGGGAAATATCAGAGACTTTTATATGCCACAGGCCTTGTGAGGTGAAATGGAGGGCAGGGCAGCCTTGCCAGAGTTTCCTTGTTCAAAAATCCCAGGATTCTTTTCCATGTTCTCTGAAGGCTAAGCATCTAGTTCTCCACTGAGCAGTAGGGGCTGCTATAATCCCTGCACCTCAGCTGTTAACCGACACACAGTGAAGACATATTCGGTTCCACTAGGGAAACTGTTTTCATTCCATTAGTCACTGATCAGTATTGAAGCATGGAGAAATTCATCATTGATTTGTACTTCCAAAAATAAATGGTTAGGGGCCATATATACTGTACGTGAGGCCCTCCCTAAATGGAAAGATGAGTGATAGAAACAAGCAGAAAAATGAAAGAAAATGACAGGGATAAAGTAGAGCATGGCATCAGAGCTTTGGCCATCAACTGAATACAAATTTGTTTCACTCTGTAATATGCACACTAAGATTAGCACCTGGTTTCATCTAATGTTATATTTAACAGCTAATTATGGCTGCTTAACAAATGCCTATTGGAGTCAAAGCACAGGACATATGAAAAGATAGATAGAAAAGGCATTCAGGAAAACAGATAGATGATAGCTAGGTGGTTAGAAGGCTAAAGAGACAGATAGACAGACAGATACATACATGATAGATAGAGAGGTAGATGATAGCTAGGTAGATGATAGATAGATTATAGATAGATAGATAGATAGATAGATAGATAGATAGATGAGAGGTAGATAGATAGATAGATGGATAGATAGATAGATGAGAGGTAGATAGATAAGAGATAGATGAGAAAAAGAGAGAGAGAAAACATGAGGCAAGTTCCAGATGTTTAAAATGCTCTCATATAACCCACACACATGTGGACTTTTCTCTCTTATGGGTGCTACATGCTAAGCTGTTCTTTGATCAAGACTCTTTTGTTTCACTTGCCTCACTCCTCTCTTTTTAGTC